TCTACGAGCTACACTGATGGATGCAGTACAGAAAGTTTGTGAACGTGGCGAAGAATTAAGCAAAAAGTCCTAGTGTCTTTTCTTCAACTATTTTTTTTCATAGTTCTAAAATGAGATTACTCTATGAAATGTATTTTATATATATATATATACATATTATTCCAAACATTTTATTCAACAGCAATATGTCTACTGTTATTGATAAATACATATGTATTTAGAAGGAATTTAATTATTTATTTGTTCTGGTCTTCAAGATTCTGTTTTAATAGACTTTTCTCATTGTCAAAATAGATTCAATCAAGTGCTTATTTACAGGTAAATCATCTACAAATAGAAGACTTTCCTGTCTTTATACACTCTTTTCCGAAAGATTTCATTAATCCTTTGATATGGCCATTGAGTTATTGCATTATTCCTTGTCCACTTTCCTTCTGAGTAAGAGATATTTATTTACTAAATTTATAAAAAAGGCTATTTTAAACTCCGGTCACTTATTTCCATAGTTTCTGATTTTAGTAATACTCTTGTTAACTGTTAGAAATATAACGATGCATTTAGACTTAGTCAAGCTATAGCTATTATATGAAAGCTTAAAATTAATTACGCCATAGTTTCATGATTTATAACACAATAGTTTCGAAGCCATTTTAGTGTTTAATTCTATGACATAAAACTTCTAGCCTGGATATTCAGTCAGTCAAATACAACGTAGAACATCGTGCGTACGTGCATCATTTCAAGTTGCCATACCATATTATTATAGAGATAGAATTATCAAGTAAAATCCTATAGTAATGGAAAGATTAGGGACCGGAGATATGATTCGAGAAGTTGTTCAACAGAAGTATACATGATAACAGCATAAAAATGTCACCGTTTGCTTCGTATATCGTCGAAATTTAAGATTTATTTCATACAAACATTCCATACTGTCACATGACTCATTGATGACCCTCATTTAAAAATATGTGAAATATATCGATTTACAAACATACACTGAAAAGTGTTCATATCAACTATGTGTTTGCTAATTGGATTAAAATTCATTCAGAGCGGCTGTCTGTTGTTTATAATATGTTGGAATGAAATCTACCTTTGTTATGAATTAACTACAGCTTTTAACAACATGCATCATGACCTTCAAAAGGCACAACTGTTTGTAAATTTCAGATACTTGAAGCTACTTTTTAGACAAATTCATGCGAATAAAAATTAAAAAAATACCAAGAAAAGAGAACTATGATGACTTTGCTTATTTAAAGTGGATACAGTAGAGGTATGGAGAAATAGTCTACCTATTTAAATGTGTTAGCAACGTAGAATTTTTACGATTGTAATATTGATGGTAGTTTTTGAGTTAGGCAGTCAGTTACAACGTAGAACCTTGTACGTAAGTACAAAAGTTCAGGTTACCATACCACATCAGCACAGATACGCAACTGTCACTTCAAATCCAATAGTGGTAGCGATAGTAAAAGTATTAGCAGTAATGGAGAACGTTAGGGTTCAAAGATATGATTCAAGAAGTATAATTCAGTGAGATGACTTTAGTAAAAGGAAGATAAAGATGATGAGGAATTCTGAAGGCTAGAATTTAAGAGAACACAAAGAGTGGATGCACCTGCGCCATTGCAAACGATTTTGAGTCATGTCATTCAAAGTCTCTAACCATTTGGTGATTTTCATCTTGCGGACCCCAACCAGGTAGTCGACACCTACCGACATGACTCAATCCACTTGTCAATGGTTTCATGGATTTGTGCCATATTTTGGTTTGGCCACTCGTAGCTTTCTTTCAACCTACTCGTACGCAACACAACATAACTCGTCGAGGTGGTCGGTGGTTAAGTATACGCAGCACATGTCCCAAACACATCAACTGAAGTTTCACTACTTCACCAATTGATCGTTTCCTGTTTATAGCATTGCTTACTCGGTTGTCCCTGGATATACGAGCAATGCTTCGAAGGCATCAATAATCGAATACTAATAACTTGCGAATTTGTTCTACTCTTAACGACCATGTTTCACAGCCGTAAAGTAGAACAGAGCGGACTTCTGCGCAGTAGACTCGTCCTTCGGTCAGGAAACAGATATCCTATCTACGCCAAAAGTGACGCAGGTTGGCAAAAGCTAATCGAGCCTTCTGTATCCATGCTGAAATTTCGTCACACACAAGGCCATCAGCACTGATGAGACTCCTGAGATAAGTGAAGCGGAATTCAGTGAGATAAGGTTAGAAAGACAAAGGTAGAGGTGCTGGCTAATCCAGAAGATTAGGATTTGAGAGAGCTCAAAGAGTGGATGCACCTGCGCCATTGCAAACGATTTTGAGCCATGTCGTTCAAGGTCTCTAACCATTGATGACTTTCGTCTCGCGGACCCCAACCAGGTAGTCGACACCTACCAACATGACTCAGTCCACTTGTCAGTGACTTCATGGATTTCTGCCATGTTTTGGTCTGGCCGCCCTTAGTTTTCTTCCAACCTACTCCTACACCACAAAACACTCGACGAGGCAGTCGGTGGTTAGGCACACGTAACACATGTCCCAACCACCTCAACTGATGAAGTTTCACCACTTCATCGATTGATCTGCCATCCTTATCTAGTACTCGTTTCCTAACGACAGCATTGCTTACTCGGCTGTCCCACGATATACGAGCAATGCTTCTTAAACATCTATGATCGAATACTAGTAACCTACGAACATCTTCTACTCTTAACGGCCATGTTATTCACAGCCATATAAGAGAACGGAACGAACTGCTGCGCAGTACACCCGCCCTTTGGTTAGCGAACGGATATCACGCATACTCCATAAGTGACGCAGGTTGGCAAAAGCCAATCGGGCCTTCTGTATCCGAGCTGAGATTTCGTCAGTCACCAGGCCATCAGCACTGATGAGACTCCCCAGATAAGTGAAGTGACCAACACGCTCGACTACTTCACTCCCCATCACTAGTTCAGGTGCCGATGCAACCCAGTCTTGAAGCAACATTTTGTACTTCGAGGGGGTCAACGGCATCCCGAACATGCTCGCATTGTTGCTTATGGTAGTCAGAAGACTCTGCATTTTGTCAGCGTCTTCACCGAATAGAACTATGTCATCGGCATAGTTCTAGATCAGTAAGCGACTTTCCTGGTAGAAGGTCAACCCCTGAAAAATCTGACGAGCTTAATGTTAACTCTAAGAGGATGTCTACAACAAAGTTAAACAAGAATGGAGAGAGTGGACAGCCCTGACGGACATCACTTGATGTAGAGAATTCAGATGACAGTTCGCCATAAGATCTCACTCGACCAGTGGTGTTCGAGTAGAGAGCTTGTATAAGGTTATAGTACTTCTTTGGTACACCTTTCAATGACAGACACTGCCACAGAACCTCACAATCCACAGAGTCAAATGCCGCTTTTAGGTCCAGGAAAACAACTATTGTAGGACGTCTAAATGTGTGTCTGTGTTCCAGGACCTGTCGTAGTGTGAAGATGTGGTCTATACAACCACGTCCAGGTCGAAAACCAGCCTGGTTTTCTCGAGTCTGCTCTTCGCGATCTCTAGTTGGGCGTCTAAGGATTGTCGAGGCTAACAATTTAGATACTATATTAGTTAAACTTATTCCCCTGTGATTGTCACAAGAGGACTTTTGTCCTTTCTTGTAGATTGGGACAATTAGCGACTGAGACCAGTCAGATGGGATTACGTCCATTTCCCAGATTCTACCTAGGATCTCGGTCAGTCTAACCGTTAAAACTGGACCACCATCCTTAAACATCTCGGGGGTAAGCCTGTGGGGACCTGCCGCTCTACCTCTCCTTAGATTTCCTATAGCTTTCTCAACTTCATGTAAACTGGGAGGAATTAAATCGATTTACCATTCAGGATGACTGGAGATCGTGGGCAACCGAAGTGTGGCTGAAGGCCAGTTGAACTGATCCCTAAAGTGTTCTGCCCATCGGTCCAGCCTCCTAGATTGAGAATGGATAATAAGACCATCCTTTTCCGAGATAGTCTCACATTCGGGTTCCTAATACCGGTTTCTTTAATAAGGCGGAAAAGTTGTCGAGTGTTGCCTATCGCCGCTGCCTTTTCCTTCGCTTTTGCTTTCGCCACCCACCACTGTTCACGGTCGTTACGTAGGCTTTTTATAAGTCTGCGACTAAGCTGACTTCTCTCCTCATCATGTTCAGAGTCAGGTGGGATGCGTTTTCGAGCATCCATCAGTTCGGTGGATGCGACTGAAATCCACGGCTTCATCCTAGCCTTGTGCTTTACCTTGCTAGCAGATACCGTTGCTGTTTCCTCAGCCTTCTTGATATCATTCCAACCTGCTTCAGGATGGGAATCACTTGCATGGCCGCCTAGCTGTATTCTAGTTCCTCCTGAAATATTTTCTTAGCTTGATTATCATCAAGTAAAGCCCTAAGAGGCTTCCTTACGGTGTCTTCCCAACGTCCAGCAAGCCTCAAACAAATACGTGCTCGCACTAGGGCATGATCTGAATCTAAACATGTGCCCCAGAATGAGCGACCAGTGAAGTCGCAAGTCAACCATGAAGCAACATTTTGCATTTCGAGGGTGAGAACCGCATCCCGAACATGCTTGCATTGTTGCTTAGGGTAGTCAGAAGACTCTGATAATAAAAAGTATAAATCGTTGGATGTAACAAAGTTGATCGTGGTCATCTAATAATCGCCAATTTTTATTTTATTACAACTATTTCATATGGCAAAATGATTTCTGATTTTCTAGTCAGTCTCAAAGTTGATTAGTAATGCCCTGCATGTAGGTGAAGCTGAGATCGTGTGCGAAACAGTTAATAGTTATTTAATTGATCCAGTGAATCTATAGTTGCTCCTTTTTGTTTTGCTCTGCTACGTTTCTTTTTGAATCTGATAGGAAATGATGTTCTTACGAATTCGGAACTTCAAAAGAGGATATCATGAACGTTATCACTCACTTTCTGGTTCACAAATAAAATCTAAATGAATGGCGATTTACGGGTTCAAAAATGTATTATTTAAGCTTGACTATCGAATAACTTGAACAATAATGGTTAATTTTTTTTCAAAAAACACAGTTTATTTATACAGAAACATATGTACATGTACAAGGAGTTATTTCTTTTCCCCGTCTTGCATTACTGGTCGGTCATATTTATAAAAGTCAACAAATGGAAATAGTATCATCATTTAAGATGCGTCAGCATAAGAGTTGAATAATGAGATAGGATAGAATTACATAATTAGAGGTTAGAAACACTATTTTATATAAACGTTATCGATTTAAATATACTTCAAAGTAGTTATATAAACTTGGAAATAAGCTGTTTGTATTTTGTTTTAAAATCGTAATTAAAAGAAGGAAGAAAGAAACTGGAAGGCGAAAACATTACTTATGAATGTCCTTAAGTCAAGCATACACATTAAAGAGTTCGACAAAGCAGTATAAATATGTGTACAAATTTAGAAAGAACCAGAGTACTTTTTAAAAAAAAATGCGAAAATGAACACAAAACAGCCATACAAGACAATGATGGAATGTATTGACAAATGTGTGTTGATACAAAACAAGCAAAGAACAATTTAGTGGTAGGATAGGTAGTAAAAAATATGATATTTCACAATAATTTTTTTAATAGGGACACAACGGTCGTACTCAGACGAACACAGAGAGATATTTATTTATCAGATTTCATGGAATAGGTGCTAAAGTTGGCACTGTACGGTTATCCGTGGATGATCGACTTCGTAAAAAACTCCATTTTTTATAAGAGGGCGGTATACTAGGTGATGATACTGTAGTGATTGGTGGAATAAAAGCAGTAGTGGTAATGATCTGACTATGACGATGAGATGGTGAATGCGCTGTATTGTCTACTAATTCAGTAGGTCTACTAGCAAACCATCGTCCACTTGAAGGAAGTAGATAAGTACAATGTTTTATAAGCAATTCGATTAAAGTATGCTCAAAAAGTGTTCCAGCCAAACAACTTATGGGATCGGTATAGGATGAACTCAGTAAAGTAGGTGATAGGACAATAGCTAAATTAGCTGCAGTCATCATATTCACTTCCTGCTTTTCAGCTACTCTATAAAAATATAAGAAAAAAAAATGAATATTTCAACATTGAGCTTTTAGTTATTTGTCAATTTTAAACAAATTATATCAATAATAAGGATGTAGTAAACAATTTCGACAACTGTTTCCTTCTTAATAAGATAACTAGTTGTCGAAATTGTTTACTACATCCTTATTATTGATATAATTTGTTTAAAATTGACAAATAACTAAAAGCTCAATGTTGAAATATTCATTTTTTTCTTATATTTTTATAGAGTAGCTGAAAAGCAGGAAGTGAATATGATGACTGCAGCTAATTTAGCTATTGTCCTATCACCTACTTTACTGAGTTCATCCTATACCGATCCCATAAGTTGTTTGGCTGGAACACTTTTTGAGCATACTTTAATCGAATTGCTTATAAAACATTGTACTTATCTACTTCCTTCAAGTGGACGATGGTTTGCTAGTAGACCTACTGAATTAGTAGACAATACAGCGCATTCACCATCTCATCGTCATAGTCAGATCATTACCACTACTGCTTTTATTCCACCAATCACTACAGTATCATCACCTAGTATACCGCCCTCTTATAAAAAATGGAGTTTTTTACGAAGTCGATCATCCACGGATAACCGTACAGTGCCAACTTTAGCACCTATTCCATGAAATCTGATAAATAAATATCTCTCTGTGTTCGTCTGAGTACGACCGTTGTGTCCCTATTAAAAAAATTATTGTGAAATATCATATTTTTTACTACCTATCCTACCACTAAATTGTTCTTTGCTTGTTTTGTATCAACACACATTTGTCAATACATTCCATCATTGTCTTGTATGGCTGTTTTGTGTTCATTTTCGCATTTTTTTTAAAAAGTACTCTGGTTCTTTCTAAATTTGTACACATATTTATACTGCTTTGTCGAACTCTTTATGTGTATGCTTGACTTAAGGACATTCATAAGTAATGTTTTCGCCTTCCAGTTTCTTTCTTCCTTCTTTTAATTACGATTTTAAAACAAAATACAAACAGCTTATTTCCAAGTTTATATAACTACTTTGAAGTATATTTAAATCGATAACGTTTATATAAAATAGTGTTTCTAACCTCTAATTATGTAATTCTATCCTATCTCATTATTCAACTCTTATGCTGACGCATCTTAAATGATGATACTATTTCCATTTGTTGACTTTTATAAATATGACCGACCAGTAATGCAAGACGGGGAAAAGAAATAACTCCTTGTACATGTACATATGTTTCTGTATAAATAAACTGTGTTTTTTGAAAAAAAATTAACCATTATTGTTCAAGTTATTCGATAGTCAAGCTTAAATAATACATTTTTGAACCCGTAAATCGCCATTCATTTAGATTTTATTTGTGAACCAGAAAGTGAGTGATAACGTTCATGATATCCTCTTTTGAAGTTCCGAATTCGTAAGAACATCATTTCCTATCAGATTCAAAAAGAAACGTAGCAGAGCAAAACAAAAAGGAGCAACTATAGATTCACTGGATCAATTAAATAACTATTAACTGTTTCACACACGATCTCAGGGCATTACTAATCAACTTTGAGACTGACTAGAAAATCAGAAATCATTTTGCCATATGAAATAGTTGTAATAAAATAAAAATTGGCGATTATTAGATGACCGCGATCAACTTTGTTACATCCAACGATTTATACTTTTTATTATCAGAGTCTTCTGACTACCCTAAGCAACAATGCAAGCATGTTCGGGATGCGGTTCTCACCCTCGAAATGCAAAATGTTGCTTCATGGTTGACTTGCGACTTCACTGGTCGCTCATTCTGGGGCACATGTTTAGATTCAGATCATGCCCTAGTGCGAGCACGTATTTGTTTGAGGCTTGCTGGACGTTGGGGAGACACCGTAAGGAAGCCTCTTAGGGCTTTACTTGATGATAATCAAGCTAAGAAAATATTTCAGGAGGAACTAGAAAAACAGCTAGGCGGCCATGCAAGTGATTCCCATCCTGAATCAGGTTGGAATGATATCAAGAAGGCTGAGGAAACAGCAACGGTATCTGCTAGCAAGGTAAAGCACAAGGCTAGGATGAAGCCGTGGATTTCAGTCGCATCCACCGAACTGATGGATGCTCGAAAACTCATCCCACCTGACTCTGAGCATGATGAGGAGAGAAGTCAGCTTAGGCGCAGACTTATAAAAAGCCTACGTAACGACCGTGAACAGTGGTGGAGGGCGAAAGCAAAACCGAAGGAAAAGGCAGCGGCGATAGGCAACACTCGACAACTTTTCCGCCTTATTAAAGAAACCGGTATTAGGAACCCGAATGTGAGACTATCTCGGAAAAGGATGGTCTTATTATCCATTCTCAATCTAGGAGGCTGGACCGATGGGCAGAACACTTTAGGGATCAGTTCAACTGGCCTTCAGCCACACTTCGGTTGCCCACGATCTCCAGTCATCCTGAATGGTAAATCGATTTAATTCCTCCCAGTTTACATGAAGTTGAGAAAGCTATAGGAAATCTAAAGGGAAGTAGAGCGGCAGGTCCCCACAGGCTTACCCCCGAGATGTTTAAGGATGGTGGTCCAGTTTTAACGGTTAGACTGACCGAGATCCTAGGTAGAATCTGGGAAATGGACGTAATCCCATCTGACTGGTCTCAGTCGCTAATTGTCCCAATCTACAAGAAAGGACAGAAGTCCTCTTGTGACAATCACAGGGGAATAAGTTTAACTAATATAGTTTCTAAATTGTTAGCCTCGATTATACTTAGACGTCTAACTAGAGATCGCGAAGAGCAGACTCGAGAAAACCAGGCTGGTTTTCGACCTGTACGTGGTTGTATAGACCACATCTTCACACTACGACAGGTCCTGGAACACAGACACACACTTAGACGTCCTACAATAGTTGTCTTCCTGGACCTGAAAGCGGCATTTGACTCTGTGGATCGTGAGGTTCTGTGGCAGTGTCTGTCATTGAAAAGTGTACCGAAGAAATACTATAACCTTATACAAGCTCTCTACTCGAACACCACTGGTCGAGTGAGATCTTATGGCGAACTGTCATCTGAATTCTCTACATCAAGTGATGTCCGTCAGGGCTGTCCACTCTCTCCATTCTTGTTTAACTTTGTTGTAGACATCCTCTTAGAGTTAACATTAAGCTCGTCAGATTTTTCAGGGGTTGACCTTCTACCAGGAAAGTCGCTTACTGATCTAGAACTATGCCGATGACATAGTTCTATTCGGTGAAGACGCTGACAAAATGCAGAGTCTTCTGACTACCATACGCAACAATGCGAACATGTTCGGGATGCGGTTTCCCCCCCCCCCCGAATTGCAAAATGTTGCTTCAAGACTGGGTTGCATCGGCACCTGAACTAGTGATAGGGAGTGAAGTAGTCGAGCGTGTTGATCAATTCACTTATGTTCGGAGTCTCATCAGTGCTGATGGCCTTGTGTGTGACGAAATTTCAGCATGGATACAGAAGGCTCGATTGGCTTTTGCCAACCTGCGTCACTTATGGCGTAGGCGTGATATCCGTTCGCTAACCAAAGGACAGGTGTACTGCGCAGCAGTTCGTTCCGTTCTCATATATGGCTGTGAAACATGGCCGTTAAGAGTAGATGTTCGTAGGTTACTAGTATTCGATCATAGATGTTTAAGAGGTAGTGCTCGTATATCTTGGGATAGCCGAGTAAGCAATGCTGTCGTTAGGAAACGAGTACTAGGTAAGAATGGCAGATCAATAGATGAAGTGGTGAAACTTCATCAGTTGAGGTGGTTGGGACATGTGTTACGTATTCCTAACCACCGACTGCCGCGACGAGCTATGTTTTGTGGTGTAGGAGTAGGTTGGAAGAAAGTTAGGGGCGGCCAGACCAAAAACATGGCACAAATCCATGAAGTCACTGACAAGTGGACTGAGTCATGTTGGTAGATGTAGACTACCTGATTGGGGTCCGCGAGACGAAAGTCATCAATGGTTAGAGACCTTGAACGACATGGCTCAGAATCGTTTGCAATGGCACAGGTGCATCCACTCTTTGAGCTCTCTCAAATCCTCATCTTCTGGATTCGTCAGCACCACTACCTTTGTCTTTCTAACCTTATCTCACTGAATTACCGCTTCACTTATCTCAGGAGTCTCATCAGTGCTGATGGCCTTGTGTGTGACGAAATTTCAGCATGGATACAGAAGGCTCGATTAGCTTTTGCCAACCTGCGTCACTTTTGGCGTAGATAGGATATCTGTTTCCTGACCGAAGGACGAGTCTACTGCGCAGAAGTCCGCCCTGTTCTACTTCACGGCTGTGAAACATGGTCGTTAAGAGTAGAACAGATTCGCAAGTTATTAGTATTCGATTATTGATGCCTTCGAAGCATTGCTCGTATATCCAGGGACAACCGAGTAAGCAATGCTATAAACAGGAAACGATCAATTGGTGAAATAGTGAAACTTCAGTTGATGTGTTTGGGACATGTGCTGCGTATACTTAACCACCGACCACCTCGACGAGTTATGTTGTGTTGCGTAGGAGTAGGTTGAAAGAAAGCTACGAGTGGCCAAACCAAAATATGGCACAAATCCATGAAACCACTGACAAGTGGATTGAGTCATGTCGGTAGGTGTCGACTACCTGGTTGGGGTCCGCAAGATGAAAATCACCAAATGGTTAGAGACTTTGAATGACATGACTCAAAATCGTTTGCAATGGCGCAGGTGCATCCACTCTTTGTGTTCTCTTAAATTCTAGCCTTCAGAATTCCTCATCATCTTTATCTTCCTTTTACTAAAGTCATCTCACTGAATTATACTTCTTGAATCATATCTTTGAACCCTAACGTTCTCCATTACTGCTAATACTTTTACTATCGCTACCACTATGGATTTGAAGTGACAGTTGCGTATCTGTGCTGACGTGGTATGGTAACCTTAACTTTTGTACTTACGTACAAAGTTCTACGTTGTAACTGACTGCCTAACTCAAAAACTATCATCAATATTACTAGCGTAAAA